GCTCTCCAAAAAAAAAAGTAATAAAAATGAAATAAAAATAAAAATAAATTAAATTAAAAAAAAAAACATGCTGCCAGGGCCAGCAGGTGGCTTGGTGGTTAAGGTGCTAGACTCCCACATGGCTGATTATGGTTCAAATCCTGGAGCTGGTGGCTTGAAAAACACACTGGCTGTATGTGTACCCAAAATCCCAGGAGGAGAATGAGAAGGGATTGCAGCATGGCCATACCCCCTGGAGGGGTGATTCCTTACTCTCACTCTCCCTCTCACTGTCTCTGTTTATCACACTCCCCCCCCACCCCCCAGTTCAATGAGTGCATGAGCCCTAAGGAAAAAACCTCTACCTAGGGGGAAAAAAAAAAAAAAAAGAGAAAGAAAATCCGTTGGTTCATCGGGCATAATATCAAATCAGTTATTAATATTTTTTATATGAGGCACTTGCCTGGTATTAGAAATACGAACTCAGGTTGACAGACCCTGTGCCTGAGGTCTACAGGTCTAAGCAGACAGGAAACAGCAGAGGCATGAAATTCAGACAGGTCTGATTTCAAGTCCTGGGTCCGCAGACTACAAGCAGCGTGCGGTTTGTCATCTCTGAGTCTGTCTGCTTAATAGGAGGGGGTACATTCCACTTAAAACTGCGAGGACAAGATCAAGTGCACTGGAAGGCATTCAGGGCAGCTCCTCCCATGCAGCAGGACGTCAATAAACGGAAGCCACTGTATGAACAGGGCTCCCCGGAGACACCCGAGTCCAGAGGGGAGTAGGACACGCATTCAAATAATTAAGCCACAGAATGGGACTAGATTAACCGCAAAATGCAATGGGGGTCAGAGGAGACTCAGCGGTCTGCTGAAAAGAGGAAGGTGCTCAAACAGGGGAGCTGCTGCCTCAAAGGAAGAGGAGCTGGCCCAGCGGCAGAGGAAGGAAAGGGGGAAACCAATGTGTATCCAGACACATATGAGTCTGGGCGAGGGTGATGGGTAAGGCAAAGGGGGTTGACAGAAGCTAAGGGAAAAACACCAGATTGAGGGCCTTTAATGACATGTTAAGGGGCATGACCATTCAAAGCAATGTTCTTACCTGTTCTCACAAAGAGTAGGAAATTAGAAGCTCTCCGTCCTAGTAGTATCTGACCTGCTACCCTCCCAGCTCAACACCTGCACATTATACCCTGCCTGTGCTGACCCACGGGAAGTCCCCTGGCCCATGCACTACTAGTGATGAAGGAAAAACAAAGCAAAGCGGCCCAAGATGCCATGGGACATCAGGCAAGCTCCACAGCAGGGGGAATCTGCTCATGTCATTATAAAGCACAAATAAAGAATAACTGGGCAAAGCCACTTATATCCGCTCTGATGCTCATAAAACCCTGAAGCATATTTTATCTTCATCCCAGCCCCAGGTCCTCCACTCCACTAAAACTTATAGGTTGCTTTGCTCAGTGGAGGGACAAGGAACAGAAAGAGGGTACAGGGCCCCATGTTTTCAAAGTGGCCCCTGCACTGAGTCACTGTGTGAGTGTACCCTGAAGCCCCAAGGGGCCGCCCATCTCTCCTGCCCTTAGGGACTGCAAATGCTGCCTGGAGCATCACGTGGATTTCAGCCCCCTAGGTGCAAGCCGATGACCCTTGACAACTCTGCAGAAGTACACAGAGGTGCATGCAGTCCATGTGAATGCATGGCCCCAAAAGCTGCACTCAGCGAACGTGTAAGACATGACCATTCAGACAAAGACCGTGGGATCACAATGTCTTACTCACCCAGAATTTTACGAGGAAGAAGGCATTTTGAGGGCCCTTTCCAAATAGTTCCTTCAAGTCAGCTTTCTTTTCAGGAAATTTGTCATAAATCTGACGAATGTCCACCGATTCGAGCAAAGGGTCACTGTACGAGTGGTTGGCATGCCCAATGTGCACGAAGAGGTGTTTGTTGTACTGCAAGAAACCAGCAAAAACATTCTCGTTATAAACCCTCAGTAACCAGGGACTTGTCCGTCTTGCAATGAAGAGCAGCAGTCTTGATATTCTGAAACTGGGCCTGGAACAGCCTAGGTCCTGTGCCTTCAAAAATATGACTCCATTAAAGAAAGTTGCTACAGCTTAGGGTTAAAACAATCACTATCTTATTGACAAAGGCAAACATTTTCCCCATTGCCTAAAAAAAGGGTTTTTTTTTTTTTAAAAGACAGACTTAATAATAAACAACAGTATAAGTCATCTAACTACCAGACCAAGAAACCATTCTATCACCCAGTTTCACTTGACTCAACTAAAAACAACAGGGACATTCTTTGGAGACCATTATTTATAGTGGAAGTCCAATAAGAAATGTTCGTGTAGTCAGCCAATGTCACCTCGCAGCAAGGGCTTTGTCCCCAGTTTCCCTAGCAAGGGCATGGATGCAGAGGTCTGAGCAATGGTACCCACTTTCTTCTTCCATCAGGACTAAGAGTGTCCTTTGTCACCCATCCCCTAAATAACCAATCTCGAACTTCCACGTAAGGGTCATTCAGTGGGTGGGTGTCTGCACAAAGTTAGGTTCAGGCGTACAGATCACAGAGAAGACCTAAAGGCCTTATGTGGCCAGAAAAAAGAACCTAGATCACGCACTCACACCGGAACCAAGCAAACAAATATTGGGTTGTCGGGAAAGTCATGTAGCATCTTCATATAGAAAAACAGAAAAATATGTCATGCCTTTCTCAACAATCTAATAAGATCTCAAACCCTTTTAAGTGACTAAACTCATAAAAGATACCCTTTCTTTTACCTACTTTGATATAAGACATGGTAACTAAACAAGAAGAATCCTAAGGTTCTCAACTCAAGCTGCATCAGAATCACCAAGTAGCATTTAAAAATCACCAATGCTGGGGCCAGCAAGTGGCATGGTGGTTAAAGACACTGGACTCCCACATGGCTGACCACGGTTCAAGTCTTGGACCTGGTGGCTTGCTTTCTCACTTCCTTCCTCTCTCTCTCTCTCTCTCTTTCTCTCTCTATCTCTCTCTCTCTGACCAAACTGGAAAATAATAATGATAATAATAAATTAAAAAAAAAGTTAAATTAAATACTTCTTAAAAAAAAAAAAAATCACCAATGCCTGGGCTCTGGCCACAAAGCCTTGGAATCTCTGAGAATGAGGATGAGGCCAGGGCTCCTTGGTTGTATTCTAACATGCAGCCATGTTTGAGAACTAGTGAAGAAGAAATTGCACTCCAGACCCTCCATGTCCACCTCTCCTGCTAAACACCAACTCAACATGATGGAAACCAATAAGTCTGGGGGTGTGGATTCCAGGGGGCTTGGGACCAAATAGGGTCCAAAAGAGAAATCCCATCTCTCTTCATCATCCAGTAGTATACTTAATTTCCAAGCTAAAATCAGCGACTCTCTAACTTCTGCCCTTCTGAATACCAATCCTCTAGGAAGTCCCAAATAACAGGAGGATTGGTCAGAGCTGCCTACCGGAAGTACTATACACCGGGCTAAGGAGATGGGGAATGGACTTGTCCTGCTCAATCTCCTGCCCACTGCAGATTAGCTGTGATAGGGACAAGTGTGTCCTCAGTTGTAGAAATGGGTCAGTGATGAGACCTATCTCATGAGGTTGTTCTAGGGGTTAAACAAGAGGCTCCCGATAAGAGTTCCCCAGAGTAGGCCCTCAGTAAATGCTGGCTTTTATTACTGTTTAAAAGGAATCTCCCCTCTTTGAAGTTCACAGTGAGTATTAGCATATTAGAAGCACTGCCATAAAGGAATAGTTTTGTTGCCCAGCCCGAGGTGTAGTAGTTGGGGTGGCTAGCTCCCACAAGGGCTGACTACACAGTTCGGGTCCTGGACTCAGCTCAAAAGACATGCTGAGTACCTCTGTGTACATGCCCAACATCCCGAGAAGAGAATGGAGGAGGGGACGCCAGCAAGGCCAAACCCCTGGGGGGTGAGTTCTCACTTTCACCTTCTCTCTCTCTCTCTCTCTCCTCTCTGGTGAGTGTGCAATATCCCATAGCAAATTAAAAACACAAAACAAGGGGCCAGCAGGTGGCGTGGTAGTTAAGGTGCTGGACTCCCACGTGGGTGATCACAGTTTGAGTCCAAGACCTGGCGGCTTGCTTTCTCATTGCCTCCCACACTCCCACATGTGTCCTGTGGCAAATCTAAAAATAATGATAAACAAATAAAGTAATTCTTTAAACACACACACACACACCTTTTGAATTTTGTAAAACCCAAGTTTCCCAAACTTGATTGGTCAGAGAACATCATTAAATACATCTGTACAACCCGAGAAAGTGCTGGTTAAATCCATGACCTGCTACATACACTGTGGATCTCTGGCAGTGATTCCAAAAGGCTAGAGGCTGGACACTCCAGCTAATGCCAGTGCTGCCTGCTGCCTGCATGGGTCGTGTGATTAGAGCTGGAATTTTAGGGGAGATGCCCAAAGTCCTCTCCTAGTCATCATCAAGGTGATCACCTTTATTGAGGCTTCAAAAACTCCAAAGGTACTAGGTTACATGAAAGAGGAACCATCACGCTCTGCCGTGAACTACCTGCCTGGTGGATTCTGGGTAAGACTGAGAGGCTGTGAAGTACTTCAGCAGAGCAGACTACACCTGCACTAGAAGACATTTTAAAAAAGAAAAGGGAAAGGGACCAGCAGATGGCATAATGGTTAAGTCACTGAACTCCCATAAAGTTGACTGCTGTTTGAATCCCAGACCTGGTGGTTTAAAACTCAGGCAGATGGGGTCGGCAAGTGGTGCAGTGGTTGGGGTGCTGGACTCCCACATGACCAACCACAGTTCAAGTCTTGAACCTGGCAGCTTGCTTTCTCACTTTCCCTCTCTCTCTCTCTGTTTCTCCCTAGTCAAATAATAACAACAACTATAATAATTAAAAACAAACAAACAAACAAATAAAAAAAAAAACCCTCAGGCCGAGCATGTGTACGTGTGCGCCCAAAATCCTGAGAGGAAAATGGAAGAGAAGGGATTGCAGCATGGCCAGATCCCCCCCTCCCACACACACGCAGGGGTAATTTCTCACTTTCTGCCTCTTTGTCTCTGCAGCAAGTGCACATGCCCAATAGCAAAATAAAATTCTCTGTACAAAAAGGGGGTACATGACCCCTCTTTAGCCTTCCAGCCACCTGGAAACATGAGTATGCGACTCTGATGTGTTTCAGGTCAACCCACGATCCAAACCATGGGATGTGGCTATGGCATTAGAGTAATACCCTACTGCCTGCACCTGGCAGCTAGGCCAAGACTTTTGCTCCTGACATTGAAATGCCCCTGCAGTGTACTGCTGGAACTCAGGGACCACAGCCCTGACCTCCAGGTATCAAGAGGTCAAGAAAGTGAATGGAGGGTGTGAGTTGACAAACTTTGATGGGGGCCATGAAGCAAGGGGCTGAATGCCAAGTATGAAAAGTCTGGGACCAGACACAGACTTGAAATCTCAGTTTCTGTATACGTACAATTGGGATATAATACCTGTACTGCAGAACAACTTTGAAGAGAAAAAAATTACACACAGAAGGTGCTTGGCATTTAGAATGGCTTGACTAACTGCAGCGGCTAAGGTTACTACTGTTAGGGTTTATTATCATGTGAGCTTAACTGGGACCTGGGGTAGCAAAAGAACTTTCCTTCTTTAGCTAGTCCTCCTGCCTAGGAAAGAAACATAAACACAAATAAGCCAGGAGCTGAGAGCAAGCTGCGAAGCCATGAATGTTCAAAGCACTGGCACTGGGAGAGCCCACTCGTGTCCAGCTGCTCGGGGTGTGGGCCTTTCACCTGTGCCTGGAGGAAGGGAAGAAATCTGTGCCCTCCGTGCTGCGAGCAATGTGCTTTCTGTATATGTGACGCCAGGAAGTCCTCACGATGACGCTGTAGGTGGATTTCATTAACATCATTTTGCAGACGAGGACACAGAAGCTTAGGGATGAACCAACTTGCCTGAGGTCACACACCCAGGAATAGACTTGAAGTTAAAACTGGGTTCTGTCAAATCCCAGTGTTGGCTACAAACATTGACCACACTGTCCCTCAGAAGAACATGTGTAAGCCCTTCTACCTCTGTGGACTCAACATTTTCTGGAAGTTGATTTGAGGAAAAATGCAAAGAAAGCTAAGTAGTGTTTTCAAAATCCTATGAAATTAAGTTAGAACTCAGGATGAACGTAGTGATTTACAAGTGCATCAGATGGAGGCCTCACGGGGTTATTTTGGGGACATCACCTCAGTGTCCGGGGGCTGAAATGAACAGAGAAAGGGCAAGCTGTCTTTGCCAAAAGAAATCGGGTACAGCCTCTACGAGGCTGATGACTTGAAACCAAACCCTGACCACTGGCATCTGAGTGGCTTTGTTCCTGCCAAGAGGTGACTCTGTTTCTAAGAATACAAAGGGCTAAAGAAGGTGTCCTGGAGACGACAGCAATGAAACAAACAGAATTCCTTCTCCCCTCAGCTCAACCTGGGCGGATCGAGAATCCCTCTGGCCCCAAATCCTAAAGGTTGAAAAGAAGAAAGGTACCCAATACACTTGAGTTCAAGTTTGAACTAAATTAAAACTCTAAAAACCACTGAGGAGGCTCTATTTCCCATCCTGCCATTTTTCCTTAAAAAGGAAGAAGGCTAGTGTGATGGATTCTTTATTTACCTCTCTTGTTCTCGAACAAACAAACCCCATCTCCTCTCCAGCAGTGGCGGTTTCCCCAGCTCTAATGGTGGTACACGAAACCAACAACAATGGCGATTCTGCCCCACAGGGGACAGAACAAATACTCTCAGGGCCTGGCAGGTGGCATGGTGGCTAAGGTGCCAGACTTCCATGTCGCTGATCATGGTCCAAGTCCCGGACCTGGTGGCCTGCTTTCTCACTTTCCCTCTCTGTTTCTTTCTGGGCAAATTAAAAATAAATAAATAAAA